AGTAGATTTAGGGCCAATTTGACCAACAACAGTCCGTTATTCTCCACCCATAGGGTAACAGCCCATCAAATACAGCGAATGATCTTCAAGATCCAATCAACAAATTTTAGCAACCAATAGCTATGAAATATAGTAAACAAAATACTGTCAAAGTATGAGTTGAAACATCATCAGCTTATTGAATATTAAGAAATTACATATAATTCAGTCAAAATTTTAAGAAATGTTTGATTTTTGAATTAAATTCATGATTTAATTACTATTGTTGATTTTTTATTCATGTTTATATTATTTTCTTTAATTGATATGCGATTTTACTGATTCAAGATCATCTACTGGGTGTTTTTTCTTATAAACCTCTTGCAGATAGCCATTAAGCACCTACTTGATGACTGGCTGTACCAGAAAGTTCATAGATATTGCTCGTTTCCAAACATTCATTCATTTACTTCATCAGAACCATTATGGCACCTTAGATTGATATTCCCACAAAACCATTCTGGTTTTTTAATATCCATACATCCATAAAGTTGAATATTTTTCATTGTTCAGGAACTTAACAAACATCCACACTATATTCACAGCGATTAAGAAATACCCAAATATATGTCGTAGAGCTACCAGCAAACCCAAAACCTGCAGAAAAACTAGAAATTTGCAATATTTTTTTTTTCAGTGACTACATATTCTGGGTTATATTTATATTAGACGTTATTTGAATCATGAAACATATACACTGATTTGAATAATAGCTGATTATCTCCTGATATTTTAAAACTAACCATATCGACAAGTGACACATAATTCTGTGGGATCCGTCAACACTTCGTCCCAGTGGAGCAAACTCTGCCAACTGTCGAAATAAACTTTATTAATTCTAAGTCTTATTTTTGTTTTACTGTGCCTGCTTAGATATTCAAATACGGCCAGGAATTATTAGCGCCTGGCTATTTTAGGCCTTCAATAACTCCTTATTTTAGATCTCTCCTTCTTTGTTTTTCCACGCATTCATGGTAGAAAGAAAAATATTTCATCGAATATCGATACCGTATACCGTGCAGCAGGCACGCCCATCACTACTTTGACAGATAGAATGATGTCAAGGTGACAATCGTTATGTGGCAGTTGTTTTTGTTTTTGTCTGAAATAGGTAAGTAGGCTTTGTGTATTCTTTTTGTTTTTATAGCGTTTCCAGAATTTCATATTTCGAAACGATGTCAAGGGCCGGCAGAGGAAAATCTTTCTCTGAGAACTGAAAATCATTAAACGCGCTGTTTTCAGTCTATTTTATTCTATCCCTTGGGGAAGTACAGAATGAAGAAAATACTACAGTGCTCAGTGGCCACTCAGTGGCTCAGTGCTCGTCTGTAATGATAATATTCAAATACTACTAAACACCTAAATAGCTTTCTGGCGTTTCAATTTCGAAGCTACCAGTCCTCGCTTAGAGATGGTAGCACAGTTAAGGATAGACTCGGGGTATACGGTTACGGATGTTTATAATTCCTCTCGATATCGATCGTCATGAAACCATCGATGTGTAAAGATCGATGTTCTACGCCCGATGCATCGATGTTTTCGATACATCAATGTATTGTCTATCGTCGCAATCCCTATATTGTATCCCCACCAGTCACCAGTCAAAAACCTTAACCACCAATATTTTATCACTATTTATAATTCTTCTTAGCTCTTATTTTTCAGTAATTACTAATCATTTTAGGTCTATGTCTACAGTAATTGCATTATGCACCTCGGAGATGTAGGGATTAACATGTTTTACACATATCGGCGTTTTAGGATGGGGACGACCATACTGTTTTGATTGCTTTGAAGAAATTCATTAACCCATGAATTTATAACAAATGATTACTATTGTGATGTAAAGAGAGATGAGGAATTGGTAGGAATACATTTTACATTCTATTTTCTTGCAAACCCGCACAATTCAACAGGTATGTGTTGCTACAATGATCACATATACACACAGTATATTGAACTTAACAAATTTCGAGATTGCCATGAATTAACAAACCACCAAACCTGCTGCGAAAGTTAACAGCTTATTATTTCTCCCATTCCCATTCGCTGAGGGGATAACTGATGGTCAAATGTACACCTATAACATAAATCAAATTATATGAAAGTTGTCCTGTTTTCTCTGTATAAAAGCATCACGTTGGAATCCAAAAGTGGTCTGGTTTATAATACAGTCGAATTTTCACGATTTTATTCAACATTTTAATAGAAATCACTGATATTTTGAGACCTTTGACAGCTTTCGTCAAATTGAATTTCGATAAGGTATTTTCCTATTGGTCCATAATATTAATGTTGGTCAAATCGGCCCTTAGTCTCGAGTTGTGTCTCGTATAATAACATAATATTCAGGGTGTCTGTTAGAGATTGGGAACTCTCGAAACTGGAGATACTACAGACCAAAATATGTGAATTGACCTAAACATACCTCTGTCCAAAAGTTGATAAATTGCGAGGTACAGGGTGTCAAAGTTACAATTTTATTTTCTATTTTTCCTTATTGCTTGAGAAGTATTTCAGATTTTGGCATTAAACTCGGTATACGGAGGTTTTCTAGTATGAGAAATAAGAATACGTTATTTTTTATGGCCAAAGTTCTAGAGTGCGCCACTTACAGCACTATTTCGGTAAATAGCTTATCTTAGCTTTTTCGTGCTACCTTGTATACAACAACTGACCAAAAAATTTCATTTTCTGGTATTTCTACAACAAAAAACTTTACTTGTTAGAAGGGTTTTAAGCTAATAGTATCCGAGATATTTGTTTTTAAAAGTTCCAATGCACTTTTTGTACCACGATATTAAAACATTTTTATGACATAATAATCAAGTTGTTTTGGATAACATTTGAGTAGCGTTGCTATGTTTGTCATAATATTGCTTTAAGCAGCATGAATAATTTTAAGTTGACAATGAGTTGTTAAACATGATTCAGTTATTGTACGGATTGGCAAGATCTTATGCTTCAAAAACAAATATCTCTAAAACTATTAGCTTAAGACACTTCCAACAAGTGATTGCTTTTTGTTGTGGAAGTCCGGGAAATAAGATTTCTTAGTCCGCTGTTGTATAGGGGGTAGCACAAAAAAGTTACGATAAGTTATTACCCGAAATAGTGCTGTAAGTGGCACCCTCTAGAAGTTAGGCCATAACAAATAACGGATTATTGTTTCTTATACTAGAAGACCTCCCTATAGCGAGTTTTATGCCAAAATCTGAAATATTTCTCAAGCAATAAGGAAAAATAGAAAATAAAATTGTAACTTTGACACACTGCATCTCGCAAACTACCAACTTTTGGACTGAGGTATGTTTAGGTCATTTCACATATTTTGGTCTGTAGTATCTCCAGTTTCGAGATTTCCCAACCTTTCGCAGACACTCTGTATAATTTGAGTGATTGGTTATACAACGTTGATGAGGAAGCATGTAAGCGACTAAAATATTTTTCGCTTAATAACGGAAACGTCCAAGTGTAACAAGCCAGAGGCCTAAACACACAAAACGAACGAGGATACTTTTCAGATATGAATATTAAATAGACCACTTAGTCCGCTATGGCTGTATTAAGTAATTTGCGTGACCGTTCATACCGTTTAGGCATTACCCATGCGGTTTTATAACATCAGGGGAAACTGCTTAAAAGTGTGGGAGGCTCAAAGTTGAATCACTTTGGACCAAAAAGAAAAGCTGGCGATTGTTTTGAAAAAAAAAATATCGTAGACGTGAAAATATATAAGACAGTAGCAAGTGAAAATTTAATACTTTTCCCAAGGCTTACATAATGCAAGCCTGTGAAATAAAAAGAAAATCTTGGTATCAGATGAATCTATCTTATTAATTGACTTCCAAGCGTAGTTTATACGTATTGGCAAAAGTCATTCTATTATCCAAAAAGTCATTCCACGTTTCAAAATGGCCAGGTGACGCTGGGACAATGAATATCTGATAGTTATGATTATGGCAGTCCATATACGATAAGACCAGACTCGCAGATCATAGAAAGAAATTCTGTTAAAATCGATAGGGTGGTATTATGGGAAACGGGCTGTAGGTTAAAGAGGCTAACATTCATTTACACAGTTCATTTTTTTTAGGGACAAAACATTTTAAGCCTCGTTAGGAACGTAGTGATTATGTAACCGAATTAGATAAAGTATCCAATTTTATTCATTCGTATGTTTATTCGTCTACTATATCTGCCATAAATTACAATTTCAATATACAGTAGTCTAGCGGGCTATCATTGCCAGGTCATGAGAGTAAAAAGCTAGGTTTTGTTGCCAGTTTTGCGTAAGTTCGTTCATACCAATGCATTCAGACTAGGCAGAACGAGTCAGTCAATTATTTGTTTGTCTTCTAATTATCACAGACCGTAGCGCAGATGAAAGCGCACTTGACGTAAGTCAATTTTTTGACAGTTCTGTTATCAAATTCGTATACTTGGTGTTATTTTTTAAATATGCGACTGTTTGGAGATAATTGTGGTTTTTGAGGGTTTTTAGACATGTTACTTCTTACATAGTTTACAGAGAGCGGCACAAGCTAATAAAGTTAGCTGTTCCACCAGTAAGAGTTATTATTATATTGATACAACGCTGTCACTAGTAGGCATTGGTAGACAGATGAGTCAAAAGTGTGCAGTAAAACTGAACAAAATTTGCGACAAGCTATGCAATGTAAACGCATATGCTTGGCTCTTTCTTATCTGTTCAAATTCATTGGTTCATACTGATTGTGAGTGAAGTGATAATTTTTATTGGATGGCTTCTCTCTGCGTTCCACAATGTCAATACCGATGTTTCACAGGGACCAGTTTTAGTTCCAAAAATGATTTTGTTACACACTTATAGTCTCGCTACATGATAGACTCTATCCGCAGCTTCTCGGATGATAGCTTGTTATATGTAGGCATACTGACAAGACCAGAAATCAATAATCTGGCCCAATTCAGTAAATTCTATGACCCATTCCTATATCGAACACATAAGAAGAAGAAGATTTGGTACAAGCACATTTGGTCAAGTCGCTGTTGGGAAGACGCTGAGCCATAAATTTAGAGGTAGGAAGTGCAGTTCTCTATGTGTATCTTAGGTACTCACAAAGTACAGCCTCCAAATATTTGCCGCTATGGAGAGCTACTGCTACTACCTCGTTTTCCATACATGATGGGGAACAAAAGAAATCCGACTAACTGATTGGTGGTAGTTTCAAGCTTGTCTCACTCGAGGAGATCTCAATAATCAGTCTTTTCCTCTAGTTTGTCATTGGATTTGGCACTTATGAGAAGGGAAACGACAAAAAACTAGAAGAGGCTGAATGCAGATTAGAGTAGTTCAACACAAAACAGCCAGATGATGCCATAATTTGTTTTTAAAGCAAAGTGGAATGGATTTGAACTCGCCTTGAACTTATAATGATGTGAATCATCTAAACGAGTGTGGGCTGAAATTTGTTTATGAAAACCCGTACGTACCCATATTTGTAATATTTTTTCCCTGGGTAAATTTTGTTCGGCATTTGGTGGAGGTTGGCGGTGAGAACAGCTATATAGCTGATGCCTGCCAGGTGAAATAAAGGCCTCTGGTTATTATTTACACGATCTTGATGTGAGGTATTTATCGGACCTTGAACAAAACGTAAAAATATATAAGGCGGTTGAGAAAAACGTATCATGTGAAGACCGTAACATAGGTCAAAAAATGGTACATGTGTCAAAATTATAATTTCAAAATCGGAACTTATTATATCTTGGGAGCGGATCAAGATATTGACATTCTGTACATGTAGTACTGACGTCATAGCCATTACATAGAAATACTTTCATGACTATACCAGTGTCGTAAACATTAGAACATTTTGATCCCCTAAAATTTTTTTTTACACCTATCGCATTCTTAAATAAGGCATCCGATTTCTTACGAATCGTCTATATTCATAACTGTTTGTCAGAATTCTCACTTTGGAGAATAATGATTTGGATATTTGATCGCCATACTTGTCACTTATGTACTAGTTAGTCGCAGGCCCACGCTACGCGAACTAAATGTGAGCGCCACGTATGAAGTGGTGACGCAACGATTTATAGTATAGAACTTACAGCTTATATAGTAGCATAGAAACTACGAATGGCCTCCGTAGTGCCATCTCTAAAGCAGATGTTACATCACATCAGAACCATAGCACATAGCTCAAGTATCTTGACGTTAAACAACAAACATAGCTACTATAAATGAACACAAAGTGAATAATTGTTAGTCCCAAAGTGACCATAGCTATCCCTCTGGTTTTGTAGTTACGTGATAAGTGGTCCGTTGTGTTTTAAATATAGGCTGACGTTAGCGCGCTTTGATACAACACATAAGTCTGCATAGTGTTATCTGAACGATGTAAGTGTTTTGTCTTTATTTGGTCTCATCAATGACCTTCTACTTTAAGGATATTTCACGTATTTATCAATCACCCTATACAGAGTGTTAATAAAGTATGTAGACAAACTTTAACTATCGAATCCTTGGTCAATTTGAAGACGAAATTTCCATATGAACATGGGTGCGCAACGGCTTTGTTTTCAAGCTCGAGCATATTAGCACTAAAAGAAATGATGATATTGTTCTAAAAAAATATAAAAGAATGAAAAGTATTTTATTTTAATTAAGTATGCCCTGTGGTGAATATCACATCATTTACAGTTGTTTTCAGACCCTCCATGTACGTAGTACGGATAATGTTATCCAGTATTTTTTGATGATGCTTTTAATATTTAAGCATTGTGATTATCTAGACACTTATGACATATCCGAAAACATTTGAATTAATTTATATTCTCAAATAATTCCTGTCCACTTTGCTCATTTATTGTAAAAAAATCTGTTCGATATTTTCTATTGTTGTTGTTTTATTCGAATGTTACTGTTCAAAACTGTCGACCTTCTGAATAATTTCTTTTTCAAAAAATACAGGATAATACTATTTTCATCCACGTTTTTATTGAGCCTCAGCGACTTGTAAAACATGCAAAATTTATCATAGGTTATTTTTTTATTTTTTATTTTTTTATTTTGCGGTTAGTACACTGCTCGAACAGATGATTCCATTTAACGAACAGGAAATATACAAAATACAAAAAAAAAAGAAAAAAAAAATCAATAAACAACGTATCAAGTACATTACACACATTACATCTAAACAAGTTCTTAACCTACAGTCAAAAACGACCTTTTTAAAAGTGATATAGTGCAACGAAAAATGTCTACTAAATTCTTTACTTTTTCATAGTTGTTACACATTACATATAATGGCGAAAAAAATAACACACTGGTACGAGGCACAGGTAAATAGAAATTGGTATTGTTAAACCTTATGTTTCGGTACGGTACGTGTAATGACAGCTTTTCTAAAAGAAACTGGCAATCAACTGTGTTGTTCAAAATTTTATATAAGAAAACCATAGCACAGTAATTTCTGCGCTTAGATAAACTTACCATATTAAATCTACTGAGCAATAAGATTGCGAAATCCAGCCTCAGGATAAATCCCATCTTCCTTGAACCATAAATATTTACCAACTGTTCAACAAATACGTTTCATTATTTGTAGAAATATTTGGACCATTACTCGTATTTCTTCAGTGAGAGTGCTCTAGCTTGAAAAGAAAGCCGTTACGGACCTATGTTCTTATGAACATTTAGTTTCCAAATTGACCAAGGATTCGATGATTAAAGTTTGTCTACATACTTTTTTAACACCCTGTATATCGAGCATCGAAGGGATTTAAGCGATCAGTTCTGTAAAAGCCGGTCGTCCATGAAGCGAAACTGCTGTAAATAATATTGAAACCGAAATCACCTTATTGTCTCTCAAGTACGTGCGTTTCATTCACGTCGAAACCTCATCGTTTTACCTCATTAAGTTTTACAGACCTTAGTGCCAATTTAGACAACAAAAGAATGTATCTTTCTAAACGATAGATGTAGGGTTTGCGCGCTGGCAGAAATTACGAAATTATTAAGTTAAATTGTGTCCCCATTGGGCTCTAACAAATTAATTCTAAAGAACTAAAAAGAATGATTTTTCCTGTTGTTTCACAACGTCCGGATGACTCGTTTCATCTATTCTAGGCAAACTTTAGAAAATGTTGTCAAAGTTTGTTGTTTTGTGAAATATGGAGAGAAGCTAATTCCCCACATCACTCTGACTGACTCTGAGATTAGATTTCAAGCTATGAGAATTGTCCATGACCCTTTTTATCCATTTTGACAGAAGTTTGGCATACGGCATATTCAATCAACCGAGTTAGGAAAAAACCTATTTTTACAATCGACCCATACCGCTACTGTGTTAATCAGCCATTGAAATATTTAAAAAAACGAGGGCCAATTTTGAGAACTGAAGTTTTCTTCCGTACAGATTCCTTTGGAGTTTCTTGGAAATCCTTGCGCATCTTCGTGGACGTTCTTGGATCTCTTCAAATTTCCGTGTATTTCCTAGGATTTCATTTAAAAAATAAATCGGCATAAATGGTCTTGGATCTCCTTGAATTTCGTTTGATGTCCTTGGATTGCCTCTAATGACCCATTGAGACACAAAATCTCGTTAGTGATCACATTCTGGGTGGTACTGGAGGGGCTGAAACTTCTTCAACCTAGTCCTTTGAATTACGGCTGTATTTGAACGCACATGGTGCAATCGTTATCGGCAATGACGGAGCAACGGCTCCTGAACGTTCGTCACAACAGCATAGATGATTTGTTTTCGAAGGCGAGAAAAAACATAAAAATGACACAGCTCAACCTACAAATTCCGCCCTTCGTATACAATAAGGCAAGCAATTCCAAATTGCAATTCACTTGGAAGGTCATCGTGATTTTCCACTACAATATTCCAATAGTTGCAAATACTATATTGTGCGTCTTAAAATACTTAAAAAATCGAAATATATATAGGGTATAAAATACAATTACTTGTTAATTGGGAAATTGGCAAAGCTTTTAGGCTTAAGTTGACTCTTTTGACGATAAAATCAAGCCTTCGGCATTCTCTATGGAGCCATCATCAGGATTCTGAAAACACAATTGTGATGCTAGCAAAAAAAACAGGACAGATTTAAAATGTCAGACAACTCACTCGTCGGTGAGTTTACAGCCACAAGGTGTTCCAGAAAGAACGTAGTGAAGATCGAACTTGTGTTCAGTATAAAAACAAAAGGACGGGGACATTGGGCTTGTTGAAAAACGACAGATACCTTCGTTAAAAGTTAAGAAAAAAAATAAAAATTATATCAGTACACCCGAACAAGTTAAAAATATTACACGTGGGGAGACATTTTGTTGAAACAATCGAAATGCAGTCCCTAACCTTCTACTACCGCTACACGTGGAGAGGGGTAAGGCACGAAACGGTAAAGCGTCGACAGATGACAAGTGATTGACGCGACGGACCATGAAAATGTACACCTCCCTGTCCAACTTTGGGTATGAAGTATACGAGGGACGCTCGATAAATCTCCACCCAAAATTACTAAAATGCTGGAATAACTTGTTTTGGAAAAGAGTGTGTGGTTCATATGAGTGCAAGAATGTGTGATATTGATACAACAATTCTAATTTTGTGACGATGTTGGATCAATTTGGACATGTAGCCGTTCTAGCTTTTCACAATTCAACAGGTAGGAATAAATGACACTGAGCTGCTTAACATCAGCCTTTTTATTCATGCAATGATCTGTCATGAAAATGAAAATTTCTAAAAATAAACGTTTTGGGAGTCTTTTTTCTTTATCAAGAACCTCAATACTGCCATAATTCATAGAGTGACCTGTGTTCCTTTTGTTTTTATATTGAACACAAGTTCGATCTTCTCTACGTTCTTTCTGAAACACCTTGTGGCTGCAACCTCACCCTCGAGTAAGTTGTCTGACATTTTAAATCTGCCCTGTTTTCTTTGCTAGCATCACAATTGTGTTTTCAGAATCCTGATGATGGCTCCATAGAGAATGCCGAAAGCTTGATTTTATCGTCTAAAGAGTCAATTTAAGCCTAAAAGTTTTGCCAATTTCCCAAT